CCCCAAAACCCCAAAACCCCAAAACCCCAAAACCCCAAAACCCCAAAAGTCCACCACGAATTGAGGTGAAACTGGCTTGCAAACGCAGTGTTACTAGTATTCCATTTATAGGAATAGATTATTAAATACCAAGTCACTATATCACCGAGTTATTGATGAAAAATATAACCGGACATAAATCAAGTAACTCTTAATGGTTTGTGTTTAACTTTCGAGGGCTGCTTGCCCAAGAGGAGCCTTGTGGCTCTTTCAATAATCCACTATGTATTTCTTGCGATAGTTCATTTCATTATATACTTCTTCAAGAATATCCGACGAGAAAGGCCTTGTCAACCACGAATACTCTAAAACATGGTTAATGTTAGGCCGTTTGGAAGCATCAGGATGAAGCATATTTTGGATCAAAAGTTTCACCTCTTCAGAAAGGGTAGAAAAAGCATCCTTCATTTTATAATTCTCTTCCATCTCTGTATCCAATGTCTCTCTCCTTTCAGAAGCACATGTGATAAAGCTATTCTGAACCTCTTCAGCATCTGGGAATTCGCCGGTTAATAATAAATATATAGTGACTCCAAGTGAATAAATATCAGCAGATCTTGCGTCGAATTCTTGCTTAGATTTTAAGGCAGCAACTTCAGGAGCCATATATAGCAAAGTACCTCTCCTGACTCGTGTAAAACCATTTTTATCCGCAATATTAGTTCAAGAACCAAGATCAGCAACTTTGATATTGAAGAATTTGTCCAGAAGAATGTTTTCGAGTTTAATATCTAGATGAGCGTATCCTAAACTGTGAATATATTGGATAGCGTCAGCGATCTGATAGATGTACAATCTTGCGATTTCTTCCTCTAATCCTCCTGTATATCTAACAAATTTTGAGAGTGCACCATGTTGGGCATATTCTAACACGTTATACATAATGTTTTCAGACTCGTTATTTCAATACAACTTCTCCGTCGAAATTACCCCCAATGGATTTAATAATATTAGGATGAGCTTCTAGCTTCTGCAGCATCTCATATTCACGTTTCAACATTGCTGATGCAGCTGATTTAGTATATTTTTTATCCCTCCGTATAGCTTTAATAGCAACTTTGTGACCTTCAGAGGTGTGGGCGAGGAAGACTTTTGAGCTTCCTCCCATCCCAATGACTTTACTAATTTCAAACTCACTGTCGATCATTTATAAAAATTATTAATTATAAATATAGCCTCTTGGAATTAGTATTTTTGGGGTTTTGGGGTTTTGGGGTTTTGGGGTTTTGGGGTTTTGGGGTTTTGGGGTTTTGGGG